TTCTTAGGGGACTTTGTGGCAGTGCAATTTAAATTTATACAAAACTTTAAATGATATATAATTTCTTAAAATTTATTAACTGAGAAAACAAAAGTTTAAATCCGTGCACGCGAAGGTCTTTGCAATGACAAAAAATATTCTGAGTGAACACCGTACAAAACTTCGTAATGGTTATCTCGAAGTCCTTTTAAGAAAAGGACTTTCAAGAAACACTTTGGATCTTTTATAGGACCTCTATTCTATAACTATACAATTTTTATATTAAACCAAAAATATATTCTTATAGTCTGTCATAACTCGATATACGATATTTTCCTTCGTATCTTAGAAACACTGCCATTGGAAACCCATTACAGGTTTCTTATGCAGGGCCATAGGATTCAAAACTAGGTCACTTGGCATCCACACATTACCACACATTACATTGTGTACAACCTTTCAGATCCTAGAGAAGAAGAGAAAAGCTTCTACTACCAAAAATATAAGTTTTTTTTCACTAAAGAACTCCTTAGAAACCTGGAAAATATTTTCTCATATTTTTTTTTCTTTCCACTGGAAATGCTTACAATGTATCAGTTTCTCACTACAATATCGAAAGAAATTTTTCTAGTTCGGAGACTTCTTCTTATAGAATCTAAGAAACTTAAAGGGCATCTCCTCGAAGACCAGTTGGGTTACTTTTATAAAAGGCCGCCTACATAAATGATTAAATGATCAAAATAAAACAAGTAAAAAAAATTAAGTTCGGCGCGGCCAGACAACTAAAAACCCATTAAGTATGGCCGCGCCGAACTTTTAATACCCTCCACCTTTGGGCAAAGAAAACATTTTTATATTAAAGTATCTGAATTCAAACGTGTTCTACTTTAAACTATAAATACCAGTAAGACCGTTTAGATAATGTGGATGAGGCCGTTATATGGGAGCCATACCAAAACCGGAACCTCTATAAAAATTTTATACTTCAAGGATTCGTCTATCAAATCTTCTTAAATACCAAATTTGAAACATTCTCGTGGGTAAAGTGACTAGGATTATCAAAATACCGAATATCGGTGGGTATCGTTATATGTGTGCTATTGGAAAACGTGGACCTAAATATTCAATGTTCTACCGCAGGATTTAGAACCCATTATGAAATACAAATACCAATTTTTAGACAAATCCGTGAAAAATGTAACAAAAATCATCAAAGTAACGAATATCGGGGGCTACCGTTATATGGGGGCTATACCAAAATGTGAACCTATATATCCTATGTTTCGCCACCGGAGCTATAGCCCATTTCGAACTATGAATATAAATTTTTGACAAATCCGTGGACAAATATGGAGAAAATCAGCAAAATACTGAATATCCGCTATATGGCGGCTACACCAAAACGTGGACCGATATATCTCATTTTCAATGCCAACCATTCTGGACACAATAAAAAATGGGGTCTACTACGAATATTTAGGGATATTACGAACGGAATGACAAGGTTAATATACCCTCCTTTTCAAGATGTAGGTTCTAAAAAGACCAAACCCCTCTCTCATTGTCATTAGGGTAAGCAGATATTCTTCATTTGGGAGAAGAGGCCTAAAGTTCTGAAAATCGTCCCACTGAAAGAATAATAATGAGCAATTTTATTTTTCTCGGAAACTACCCTTGTATATCATCTCTATTTTTTTATTGTTCCGCATATTATATTTGGAACAGTTCATCCTTTTCCTAAGGACTTTATTATTAAAAAGCTGATTCCTTTTAAAACATAAAATGTGTCTTTAGCAACTTCCTTCTTCAAACCGATGAAGCTAACAAAGGAAGAAGATATCTACAATTCCCATAGGCGGAAATGCAACTGGGCGTTAAATAAATTGACAAAGAACTCTTCGCCTTTTTTGCAATTATGATGATTGTATATTTCTTTCTACACGTATCTACACAGACTATTTCCGAAGATTTATCGCTGCATGTACGCAGATGAATTTCATTGATTTCGCCTTTGGCGAGACTACAATCATCATTACAACAAATCTATTACCATTTACTACTGCAGCGACAGAAGAAAGGAAATAAACCATTCAGAGACGAAGAAAAACAAATATGGATGTTTTTTTCCAACTCATCCATCGACTGCCGAATGAAAATCCAACTGTCTTTGAAGGCCATCTATCTGTGGATGCAATGAATGTAGGTAGGATGTTAGTTGTTGCATCTGCCAGTGCAACGACATTCTTTGAATAGGTGGATGACGACGACTACCATGTTGACAACGACTATTATATTGGATCAATATTGTTTTCAATGAATGGTCATGGTGTGGTGATGACATTTGCCAAGCAATCCATTGCTGCTGCTACCGATGATGATGATGAGGATGTTGTGTTTGTGACAATAATGGCTTTGTATTTGCCATGTCAACTACAATTTGATCGGAGCTACTAAACAAGTAAGCATTGCTCATGCTCGACTGGTGATAGATGGTTGAAGGTTGTTTCAATACGCACCACAACCACACCGAAGAGGTATTCATTCAATAAAGCTTTGTTATACTAAGAACTTAATGGCGGGCAAGTTTCCCACCAACACCATTTTCAGTTCTAATGCTCCTTGGAACCTGTCGATATCCTCTTTTATTTCACTGTATTGCTGTTGGTTTTGCAGCAACAACAAGAGTTGGTATACCTAGCATGGTATATGGTGGTGCTGGAGTTTCCAGATCTACTACCTTTTTTTTTTTTTTGATTGTGTCGCAAATATTTCCAAAGCGTATTATAGCTAGCATGTGCTGAGGTTTTCAAATTGCTGGTGCAGATTTGTGTTTTGTTGTATTGCATTCTTTAATGGTGCGAATGTGTTAAATACTTAAATAAACAATTTACCCATTTCTTGTCTGGCATATCTAGCTGTTGTTTGTCTTCCTTCGTTATTAGAGATATGATTTAACAGACTTCTAAATGCGGAATTCAGGGTATTTTCTGGAATTTTATGGGAATACTTAAAATATTTTAGTTTTCCATCCAGAATTGTGGGACTTAAGAAATATTAAACATTGTGATTCTGCAATCAGATCAGAAATTTGTACAAAATACTGCTAGTTCAAATTCAGACAAAATTTGGACAATTTCATACAAAAGTTGTATCGAAAAGTATATATGATATAAGGTGAAGCCTTTGTAATCACACTTAAATTACACACTATAATTTGCCCAATTTTTTATCACTTTGTCATTCCGTGTGTAACATCCCTAAGTATTCGTCGCATACCCCATATAGTATATATATTCATGATCAGCATAAAATTCTAAGTCGATTTAACGATGTTCGTATGTCTGTCTGTGTTGAAAGCATGATACAGCCCACATTATTTGACGAGAGCTTTTTTTGACAGAATAATTTGTATTGTGTCTAGGATGGTTGGTATTGAAAATGAGATATAGCGGTACACGTTTTGGTATAGCCGGTATTTTGATGATGTTTGTCACATTTTTCCACGAATTTGTCTAAAAATAAGCGAAATATCGAATGAATATGTCCACGTTTTTGTATAGCCCCCATATAACGGTACCTCCCGATATTCAATATTTTGATGATGTTAGCCACATTTTCCACGGATTTGTCTAAAAGTTGATATTTGTAGTTCATGATGGGTTCTGGCTTCGATGGCAAAACATCAAATATTTAGGTTCACGTTTTCCTATAGCGCAAATATGACGATACCCACTGATATTCGGTGTTTTGATAATCCTTGTCACATTTTCCCCTCGAAATTGTTTCAAAATTGGTATTTAAGAAGATTTTTTTATGACATTCCTTGAAGCATAAATTTACCTATATAGGTTCCCGTTATAGTATGGCCTATATATATCACCCACTTTATGGTTTTTTGAAAAGTTTAACAATGGAACACGTTTTAATTCAGATAATTTTGTATAAAAATGGGAAAACACCCAATGGTGGAGGGAATTAAAAGTTCGAACCGGCCGAATTTAATGTTTTTTTGTTAATTGTTACATTTGGCTCATTGGAAACGCTCTCTAAATATTTTCAATCTCCAGTCCTATCTATATCGTATTGTGGTTTAGAATTGTTCTTTCTCTGATAAATTATCCGAAACCGAAATGAAATTCCAATACAATTCGCAGCAATGTTTGGTAGGAGCTAGGAGATTGTGCAGAGCTTGTTAGGTTTCGAGCTATTAGGAATTTGACACATATGCTACGATATTTGCTGATTTTTGAAATGCAAACACTTTTTCTTGAAAACCTTATGCAGACTTCACTCTGATATATTTTCCATAACATTTAAAATTCCCTTTTTACACTTTTTTCATTCCTTCCTCTCTGGACACAGTTTGGAATTGTATCTGTCTCAGCATGGCACGCTTCAATGCATTTCTTGTTTTCATTTCATCTAATTCCTTCAATATCCCTATTTTGTGATTTCTAGACTTGTTATGGTCTGGTATTTCGGTTGTACGGTGCTAGTGTTGTTGTTGCTTCTTGTCGACTATGTTGTTGTGATGCTTTATTTGTTTTTCATCAGAAATCTTTGAGATTCTTGTTAAGTGCTTCTGATTTCTCAACTACTTAGTGAAATGTCTAGCACCGATACGGATGGTTGTGATGCCACAAACTGTTCCTGGAAATTCCCACAAAAGAGTGCAATCTGAAAATAGTTTCAAGCACTTGTTGCTCGCTCTCACACTTTGTTATTATTATTTTTTTTCACAAATATTGATTTAGTTCAGCACACTTTACTACCCGTCATCGTGATCATCATTATCAAGAATTCTCAAAATTGTGTGAGGTGATTCTGTTCAAGTAATATCGAAAATGTTTATTTGTTTTCGAATAAGTGTCATCAGTAGATATATTCAATTAGCAATTTTCCCCCCTTCTCTACTACTTCTTCCTCTGGTTTCATGTGTTAATTTATTTATTTAATTGTTAAGTTTTTTGATTTTGGTATATTTACAATTTCTATATTTACTGTGATATTTTTTTTTACAGAAATGGGTTTACGCTACTGTGAATCGCCATCTGTGGGCACTTGTTGCACACACAGCATGGAAACGAAAATGGCCATGCAGTCACGTCTACAATTGGAGAAACATTCCAAAGAACAAATCCTAAAGATGTCAAAAACATTAAGTGATAAAGCGCAAAAATTTAACGGTAAGTGTTGCATATACAAATAGGAGACATTCTAAATGTCTTCTACGAATAGAGGACATTCAAAAATTTTTATACACCCAAAAAAGCATTGAAAATGTCTCCTACACAAAGAGAAATTTAAAACTGACATAAAAGTGTCTTATACGCATAGAAGACACCCGACATTAAAATCTACATATAAAAGACATGAGATAAAAAAATTGCTACAAAGTCAAACGCCATAGTTTTTTATTTTATTGAATAAAAGCAAAAAATGTCGGAAATAGCATCAAATTTTAGAATAAGTTTAGATTTGTTCGAATTGGTCACCTTCGGCACGAATTATGACCTTCAAACGGTCAATGAAACCGTCACACGCTTCCCGAATGTTGCTCTGCGGTCTTTTTGCCCATTACCGACGAAACGCTTGCTTGAGGTGATCGACACTTTGGTATTTTTTAGTGTCAACCTTGCTTTCCAAAATACTCCAGACACAATAGTCTAACGGATTGGTATCCGGAGATTTTTATGGCCATTGTGGGCTGGAAATGAAGCGAGGAACCTCATTTTGTAACCATTATTGGGTGGCGCGTGCTGAGTGCGATTGTGCGTGCCCAAGGCTTTAATACAGCCTCCAAAATATTTTCGCTATAATATTCGGCATTCATTCTGATGCCAGAATGAATCTCCGCTCGATTAATACGAGCGAAGAGCGACCATCGGCTGTTATGGCGGCCCACACAATAACCATTGCCGGCGCTTGAGTTCTGGTGGCCAACCAAAGGTGCACATTTTCAGCTGACCACTTTGGCAAGTAAACCCGATAATTTTGTTTGTTTACAAACTGCTGGACAACGAATTTTTTCTCATCGGAGAAAACCAAATTCGGCAGTTCACCATTTTCGGTCAAGCGAAGCAACACTTTAGCTCTTTTGAGTCTATTTTTTTGTTGTGGTGTAAGTTCTTGCACTTTTTGGAATTTCAATGGCTTTACCCCGAGCTCATTTTTCAATGTTTGCCGAATGGAATATTGCGATATGTTCAGCACACGAGCCATTTTTCGGCCACTGCGACTCGGGTTACGATCAAGTCGCTTCTTTACTTTTCGAACCATTTCTGCTGATGTTGCAGTTTTCTTCCGTCCACTTCCTTGACGTCGGGATACGCTACCAGTATCACGGTAACGAGCGATTGTGCGAGACACAAAAGATTTATTCACATTTAAATGTTGGAGTGCTCTAACGATAGCCACTTGCAGTTTTTCAGCCAAATATAATGAAATCTCACTATCACGCTTGAATTCCATCACGAATATTTTTTTTTTTTTTTTCTAGAAAATTCTCACCAAAATGCTTTTGTACGCTTGTAAACAATATAATGAGCTGTCACTTGAATAATTTTAACAGCTGTCGGACGAGTGGCTTGGTAATGACAGCAGTCTGAAGTTGGTTGCAGTTTTTTCATCTCACCCTGTATAAACTATATATTACTATAACTTGTATTTTATTTATTCTATATTTTTAGTATATTTCTGCTATTTATAAACCTTTTTTAGGCTAAAAATTCTGGGGAGAGTCTAAAAATATGATTTTAAAGTGCTACAGACAATTGTGGAAAATACCACTTTACATATGTCTCTAACATCATGTGTAATCTAGTCTTTATAGGTATATATAAAACAAACATTTACAATGCCTTATACATAAAATGTCTTCAACACATAGACGATATTTCACTTCACCACTTCAGATTAAATTTAACATTTACATGAGTCATGATGATCAGCATTAATATGGTCTGATTTGACATAATCACATTTAATAAAAAAATATGCACACAAAAATTAAACAGAAGCCCGCATGTGCGACATGCTTCATCATGCCACTTGAATCGACTCTCCCAACATCGTGTAAATCGCTTGCAGGTTCTACTACAATTTGAAGTGTGACCACCGTCTAGTCATATTTCAATTTCAAATCTAACCATCTTCAGTTTCTTTAAACGCCATCTAAGCTTGGCTACTTGTTTTGAATAATGGTTTTTAATTCAAGTTTTAAACACACAATTACACAGTGATGTCAAGCGCCAAACCCGAGTGCCAAATGACATGTAACATTAAATGACGCCTCTAACCCAAGGCAATTTTTTAATTTTCATTCACAAACTCAACAAACGAAAAACGACAAAAGATATATTGAGGTTGCAACCTCTTTCAGGAGATTCCAGCCGCTACTTGAAAATATGGTGGTGGTGTTGTTTCTATTGTCATGTGGTTTTCAATGGATGCTGCGCCTGCTTGCCTGGCCGCCCGCTTGACTGGCTGGCTGGCTGCCTACTGCTGTTCAAAATCTCAAGTGGGTGTTAAACAATTTTCGTCTATAATTTTGGTGTTGCCTTTGTCAGTTCAGTGTATTTTTTTTTTTAACATTTCAACAATGTTTGGAGTTTGTTGGTGGGTTGTACCTTTTCAAGTACCACTACTTCACGCTGCTGGAAGTCAAATTTATTCTAATTATAAACAAACGTATTTAGGAAGTGATTTATGCTCTATTGTTATTGTTGATTTTGTTGTTACTGTGGTTTGTGTTTATATTTAACAATTGAAATTCAAAACCAGATTTATTGGAAACAAAATTTTTCGGGAAACTGGAGTGAAAAATGTCATGTTTTATGATTTATGCCCATAAATAATTGACAGAAATGGAATGTTAAAAAAAGGGGGGAAATAAAATGTTTTTTTTTTTTGGGAATTGTGAAATGACCCCACGCATCCATCTGAGTGACAAATGTTTGGTATTTCGTAGGGTGAAATATTTGATATATCAATAATATATAATTTGATTAAAAAATTTAATTAAAACAATATGTTAGTGGCGTTAAATATTTGTAAGATTCCTAATTCTGACAGATGGCAGATTTTATTTTGGACTATTGAGAATCACTTTAAAATTGTCACAACACTGAAAAAAGAAGACAACTTCAGAAATTATAAAGTACTCTCCAATGAGTCATCAAATTAAATTGGTCACAATTTTCTGCAGTGAAAAATGATTCTTGCCGTTCAACAGCATCTTATGCAGAAATCTTTACGAAAATTAATTATTTATGGCTATTTTTTGCTATTAAATTACACTGTGTAACATTCTTGAGGCAATCGGGTGAAAACAACTTTTATCTGTATTTTAGTTCAGACCCCAATTAATCCTAACTTTGGTTTAGGTAGTTACACCCAGCTTCGTTTTTATAACGTCATCTTTAACTGACTATTGAATTTCTCGAAGAATTCGGGGCTATGTCTCTAAAGCCAATACGAATTTTGACCTCTTTCGAAAACTTTTAGATAACGGAATGAGGAAAATATGTATTGAGAATATAAACACAGATAGAGATTACGAAAATAACAACATCTTCATATATTTTACTTCATAACACTCATACCTTAAATTTGCCGTAATGTTATCTTTGCAAAAATATTCACTTTCTTTGCAAAAATATTCATTGCAGTAAAATGGGTCTCAACTGGTTTCCGGTATATCTTGAATTTACCATTTGGAAAAATATATATGACGTAGTAAAATGTCGATCTACAGAATTACCTGCTGTTTCAATAGTGTTTGATATACCCCTGGATCAACACTAAGAAAGTATTTTACAGCTTCACAATGAATTGAGGATTTGTCGAGTATATAATTTAGAAGAATTTATTGCCAATGAAGCAGGATTTCAGAAATTACAGAAAATGTCTATAATTTGATCAAGTAGATGCTTTAGATGCAACCTTACCTAATTGTTTGTTTGACACATACAGTACAACCAACTTCAGACTGCTGTCATTTCTATGCCACTCGTCCGACAGCTATTAAAATTATTCCAGTGACAGCTCATTATATTGTTTACCGCAGAGCAACATTCGGGCAGCGTGTGATAGTTTCATTGGGCGTATGAGGCCATAATTCGTGCCGAAGGTGACCAATTCGAACAAATCTAAATTTATTCTAAAATTTGATGATATTTCCGACGTTTTTTGCTTTTATTCAATAAAATTTAAAAAAATGCAAAAACTATGGCTTTTGACTTTGTTGCAGTTTTTTTGTCTCACCTTGTAAGTTGTACTACCTTAGAGCTACAATATCCTACTAAAATGTTTTTGAGATGGAGCCTCTATGAATAGAAGGGTAGAAAGGTTTAGATGAGACCAAAAAAAACTAACTAGATCTGACAAAACCAGGCACTATAACTAGAAGTAGTTGACATTTTTAGAATTCCCATACCCTCAGCTTTATGTCTAAGACAGTCTATGTTTCTTTGGACGAATTCCGTTTCAAGACTGGTGAACAAAATAATTCTCAAAATTGGCATTTGGCTTAGATCAGATGCGATAATGTACAATATAGGCGAACTACTTTTGGGTCAAACATTTTAATTATCAAACCCAAAAAAATGTAAATTAGTCGCCCATTGTTCCTACATACCTCACAATCGATCAAAATTTAAAAAAAAATTATTCAAATATAATAATTAACTGACCTTAAAAGGGCAATTCCGCTCCACTCCATCTTGTACTTCTCCTACAAAATGGTATTTTGATGATTGTAGCCATGTTTTTCAATAGAATTGTCTTAAAGTCCACACAAGGAGTTCCTTCTCAGTACTGGAAGAGAATTGCTTATATAGGTCCACGATATCGTATATCCCCCATGTAACGGTACCTCCCTATTTTCGGTATTTTCTTGATTTTAGCCACATTTTTCAATGAAATTGTCTGAAAATCCACACAAGGAGTTCCTTCTGAGTACTTTACCCACTGTAAGAGAATTGTCTATTTAGGTTCACGATATCGTATAACAGTACCCCCGATATTCGGTATTATGATGATTTTAGCGACATTTTTGACAGGAATTGTTTCAAATTTCGTATTTAAAGCTTGAAGCTCGTAATGAGTACTACAACCCATGCCAGTAAATTGTCTATGCAGGTCAACGTTTTCGTATAGCCCACACATAATGGTACCTCCTTTTTCCGGTATTTTGATGATATTAGCGACATTATTCAAAGGAATTATTTCAAATTTCGTATTTGAAGTTCCTAATAGACACTACAATTTATGACAGAAAATAGTCTATGCAGGTCCAGGATTTCGTGTAGCCTCCAAGTAACGCTGCCTCTCTTTATTCGGAATTTTTATAATTTTAGCGACATTATTTACCGGATATGTTTTACTTTTCGTATTTATATGTCTCTTTGATAAACAAAAAAATATTATATTTATTTTGCTATATTTTTTTGTCTTCCTTTCATTTCAGAAAATTTTCGCAAACTTTTACAAGAATCCAAAACCGAATTCAATAATATGTTCACACGGACCTACGGTGTGATATATCAACAGAATGCCTATGTATTTTCGGATTTGTTCAGTGAATTGGAAAACTACTACAATCGGGGACGTGGTGATCTCTTGGATGTTATGGACACATTCTTCAGTACCTTATATCAGAAAATGTTTCAAGTTCTCAATGTCCAGTACACGTTTGATGAAAAGTAAGTATAGAACAATAACAACAACAACAGCAACAATAGATTAAATGTATATGCAATTGACACCAGCCACCCCCAGTCATATCATTGTGACAATACGCCTCCAAAGAAAACCGAAACCTCAAGTATAAATGTCCACTTTAGAGAAGAAACAAAAACCTTTTTCAAAATTTCCCAACCAAACTACAAATTGTAATTTAATCTCGACGAAAACCGAACGCACTTCTTCTGTCCCCAATTGACGGTTGTTATTGTTGCCGTTGTCAATATACATTTCATGTGTTGTCTTTCTTACATTGTGTCGGCTATTTTAAAAGTCATTCATAAAATCTAACTGACGGTAACCGGTACTTTTGTGGTCAAAACATTTACAATGTTTGCTAAAATGATCTCCGGACTACATTCATGGGCGACGAGAACAGCTTGATGGCTGACAGTCATGCAACCAAGCAACCAACCACAGCGCCCTGGCTCATTTTGGATTTTGATGGTCAAGTACATGGCTATGAAGATTTTTAAACAAAATAAAAGTTGGCCAGGGCTCAAATTTTGTCACTCAACACCGGCCAAAGAAGAACTTTTGAATTAAACCAAGAATTGTTGTTGATTTAAGGTTTGTTTTTAAATCCCCCTTCGTTTGGTTATTGTATTTGGCTCAGTCCTCCCATCATCCAGTTTAAAAAAGAGAACGGCTCGTGTTACTTGCACTTAAAATTGTTGGTTTTTGCTTTTGTCTTTAATTTTTGTAGCTTCCTCCCAATGGGAATAACGAAAACGAAATGCTGAAAAGAACTGACAAACGTTTCAAATTAAACTGTGAACTTTGTGAACCTTTTATTTGCTTGGTTTTCTTTACAGCTGTTTTAATGTTCTTTTTTACAAAATAATGTTTAGGCCAAATTACTTTCTTTAAATGTGCAAAAAAAAAAATAAAATGGTTTGACTATTTAGTTGTGGGTGGCATTAAATGTCTTTGGAGGTATTTTTTCCTTTGAATAACAAAAGGGTTGTCTTCTTAGGATGATGGATTTAATGTTTCCAATACAAATCAGAATATTTTGAATAAAATTTCAGCTTATTAGTTTGGTTCAACTTAGCTTATATAGTCCTTTAGATACAGCATCTATTTACCTATATCTATATATAATCGTTAACTATATTTTTGTAATCACGCTAGAGTCAAAACTAATTAAGATAGGAAGGTAAAATTTTGCAAAGATTTTCCTTTTGTCTGCAGGCAGATCAAGATGGGCTGTATCGGACCACAATATCACATAGCACCGCCTCCCCCCACATAACGCTATTTTGCCACATTTTTCAATAGAATTGTCTGAAATTCTGCACATGGAAATCTTTGGAAATGCACACAAGGAGTTCCTTCTGAGCACTTTACCCCCTAGAAGAGAATTGTCTACATAGGTCTACGTTTTAGTATAGCACCCATACAACGCACAGTGGTCGCTGCCATTGGCCAAAATTCAAAAAATGAAAAATCAGATATTTATTGTCAAATGTGTACAAATGAACTCTTAAGGGGTTAAGCTTTTTAGAAAACATAATAGTCTTGGCTTCATTCTAACGGGAGACTTCGAAAATAGCATCAAAAAAGAGAAAATGTAGTTAGTTGTTTTTTTCAGTGGGATCAGAGAAAAAGTGGAGTAAAAATAGAACTGTGTTACAAAATTAAATACATTTTAAAATTACAAATCTTGGCATTATTATTGAAAAGCAAGGTATTAACTTATTTTTAGTGCAGTAATTTGTGTGTTTAGTATATGTGTATAATATAGAAGATGTGAGTGTTCTGAATTGCCTTTAAGATTAATTTTGAAAATAAAATTGGATTTCAGTTAAAGTTTTAATTGTTTTCCCCCCTGAATCCTCCAATGTGAATTTTTTTACGCCATTAGTAATGGTCCTAAGATTGTAAAAGTGCTAATTTAACTTTCAGATTTTGTCAGATGTGTACGTTATGCCCAATATACTGAAGTGACTTCGCTGCAATTTTGTCAGTTCTATGGTGCTAGTGACATAGAATATGTTTTTGTTGTTAGCCATTGATAAGGATATAATTGAAACTGCTTTTGCCTTTGCACTGGAAACTGCTATATAGTTAACAAATTTATATCCATGGCACTATCTTCCAAGTTTCGACTAAATCATGCCCGAAAAAATTCTCGTGTTTCAACAAACACAGATCTTATTAACCGTCTTCTTCTGAGCTCTGACCATTTTATAATGGGACAGCGAACAATGACCAGTAAAGAAAGTCGTAAAGTCGAGCGGGGCCGACTTCATGATACCCTACACCACTTTGCATATTTAGTAGAGCGTCACATAACAAATAAAGGTTTTAATGGGGAATTTGTGAGAATTAAATCATACCAACAATGATTATAGTAATAATTAAAAGTCCAAAAGAACTAATATATGGGAGGAAAATCCTCCTCTGTCGAGGCATTTGCGCCTTTTCAATTCGGGTTTGTATTATCCATTTGGTGCACAATTAACTTGAAATCGGATAGATATATATGAGAGCTATATCTAAATTTGATTTGGGCTAATATTACACGTTTGCTGCACAATAAAAGGCAAATCAAACGAAGATATACATTTGAGCCATGTCCAAATATTAACAGATCTCGATAAAATTTAGAAAGGGTATTTCTGAGTTATATTTAATATATTTCCCAAAATATCGTTGTCACAGAGTGCATATTACGGCTGCGGAGGACAAAAATAACAAATCAGATGAATAATATATATGGGAGCTATATATATCTGAACCGATTTCGATCAAATTTGGCATACTTATTTTCAGGTCCCATCTGGTCGTACGTATATTCGATACTATTTGGGCTGATATTACAAGTTTGGTGCACAATATAAGGCAAATTGGATGAATATATATATGGGAGCTATACCTAAATTTTGACCGGTTATATTCAATTTCAATAGGGCCTTAAGTCAAACTAATTATTCGTGCAAAATTTATCTTTGATTTAATTTTACATTAAATGGTTATTTTATTTTGTTTACAAAAAATAATCAAATTTGGACTTGATTTGTGTAAAAAATGCTTATATTTTTGGAGGTACCTTACAAGGGACTCTACCTGATGGCGGGCTGTTCCAAATAATTTTCAGTAAGATTATTTTTAGCTTCTTAGAACGTAAAATGTCAAATAACATTACAATCTGGTGTAGAAATGTGACAAGAATTGGGCAAATAACCCTTATTCGGGAGGTACGTTATATGGGGACCATGCCAAAACATGCATCGACCATATCCATTTTGTCACATTTTTTATATTTATCCCATCAAGGTACCATAACCAAAGATTCATATTGATATCTGCACTGAAAGTATTTTTGGCCGCTGTTCCCATACGACCTCGACCACTGTGCAACGGTACTACCAGATATTCGGTATTTCATGATTTTTGCGACATTATTCAAAGGAATTGTTTTAATTTTCGTATCTAAAGTTCGTAATGGGTACTTCAACCTATGACGAAAAATTGCATATGTAGTTTCGCGTTTTTGTATATAAAAAACTGCAACAAAGTATTTTGGCCCATTTCCGGCGAAGCGCTTGCTTGAGGTGATCGACACTTTGGTATTTTTTAGTGCCAACCTTGCTTTTCAAAATACTCCAGATACAATAGTCCAACGGTATCTGGAGATTTTGGTGGCCATTGTGTGCAGGAAATGAAGCAAGGAACCTCATTTTCTAACCATTCTTGGGTGGCGCGTGCTGAGTGCGATGGTGCTGAGTCCTGTTGTAATGTCCAAGGTCCGCGGTCAAAATGTTTGCGTGCCCAAGGCTTTAATACAACCTACAGAATCTTTTCGCGATAATATTCGGCATTTATGCTGATGCCACGGTCGATTAATACGAGCGGAGAGCGACAATCGGCTGTTATGGCGACCCACACCATCACCATGGCCGGCGCTTGAGTTCTGGTGGCCAACCGAAGGTGCAAATTTTCAGCTGACCTCATTGGCAAGTAATCACGAACATTTTGTTTGTTTACAAATTGCTGGACAACGAATGTTTTCTCATCGGAGATGGAAAAAACCAAATTCGGCAGTTCACCACTTTCGGCCAAGCGAAGCAACACTTTAGCTCTTTTGAGTCTATTTTCTTTCTGTTGCGGTGTAAATTCTTGGAATTTCAATGGCTTTACCCCGAGCTCATTTTTCAATATTTGCCGAATGGAATATTGCGATATGTTTAGCTCACGTGCCATTTTCAGCCACTGCGACGCAGTCTGAAGTTGGTTGCAGTTTTTTCATCTCACGCTGTATTTTCTGAATCAGTGTAAAATTCTGAGACGATTTAGCGATGTCCGTCTGTATGTGTGTCTGTCTGTCGTAATCGAACGAATTGAGATAGAAGGCTAAAATTTTGCACACATGTGTATTTTGACAGTAGACAGTAGTAGTATTTTGATAGTAGTTTGGGTTATCAGCGAATATAAAGTACCCCTATAAAAATAAGTTCAATATAGGTCACGTCTTTAAATAAATCCTATTTTTGGTATCACATCATTCTGATGTCAGCCACAATATTCAATAGAATTGAGTGCAATATGTAAGTAGGGTCACTAAAAGTCGATAAAATACCTATTTGGCCATCAAATACACTGTTGGTGGCTAAATAGTTATTTTATCGACCTTTACTGTGTATTAGTACTTATTTTTCGACTTAAAAATAATGGTTTGGTAATCTGATTTGCAATGAGTATTTTTGTCTACAATAAGTTATTTTCGAATCCACATGAATAATAATCAGACAGGTCAACTCCTACTATTTCAGAGTATTTTTTTAATTTTTAGAAAAATCCTTCTTTTTGTCTCTACTCTAAAACTCAGGCTTTGACATTTGCTAATGTCAAAAACGGATCTTTTAAAATTATATCAGCCTTATGTACTCTATATATCAATCCACTAAAGTCTTTTCTTTCACACCAATAAAGCAAATGAAACTTTAAGTTCTCCAAAACCGACTACTTCCGCCCGAGAATTTCCTTTGCATTTCCCTGAAACATTAAACCCTTTGAGAAGAACATTATTATTTTTTTTCTGCTTTTTTTCTCGCTTTTAGTTGTCAACCTTATTCTTTCCGCTCTGTATTTTTTCCAAAGAGGTTTAGAGTAGATTTCAGACGAATCGAATCGCTGTTGTATGTGTTTGTTTTAAGCCGTATTTAATGCAGCGAGTTAATGTGGCAGACTTACAAGTGCTGACTGGTTGGCTGACGACTAAATTGTTGTTAGGTAGAGAGAGGGTGGAAGTTGGCTGTTCTTTAGCCCGGCTGATACGTTTTGTTCACAAATAAAAACAAACAAAATGTTATCACTTGGTCATTCATTCATTCAGTTGTTCGTTTGTTGGTTTGCTTTGCACATTCATACACTTGAGATGGTAGGAAATAAGTTGATGAAAAAACGAAAGCTAAATATAATACAAATGAAAAACTGTCACAAAAGGCAGAACGTTTCTTCCCGTTGGTGTTGTTGTCGTTGTTGTTTTTAAGTTCTGCTTCACAGAACTTTAGTTTTGACTTTTTAACACATTTGTGCCCTACTACATCTATGGATTTTTATTTTTTTGTTGGTTTTGTCCCAGTCATAAGAAAAACGAAATAAAATAAAACCGAGCAACAACTAATGTCGTCGCAGTCGCTGATGTGTGTTTTGGCATTAAGTTTCATTAAACTTAATAAGAGTTTTTTTTGTTGCTGTTGTTTTTTATTAGTTTTCTATTTGAAATGCAAATTTTCCATTTGTTTTAACAAAGCTTCACTTACGGAGAGATGTATTTTCACACAGAAAATATACATATATTTTAATGTTGTCTTTCAAACGAAATTGAAATAATTCCTATTTTATGAGTTACCATGTGAAAGCTATATCAGGCCAATGTATTTCAAAGCTGTATATGATATATCTTTTTCAAAAATGTTCGCATGGTCCTAATCGAAGAAAACAAGTAAAAAAGTATCAGTCGGTTTTCGCGATAGATGTATACTCCCAGCCTTCTCCTATGATTATTCAGAAAGGGTACCACAAGGGGTTCGCAATTATATATCACCTTCACAACAGATCTTGTGTTAACATAAAAGGTTGCCAGTGTGAAATTTGAAGAGAGATGGATGCTTATTTCGCTTTCTTTGTGTTTTGTTTTTCAATATCTTGAACCCTGTGCGAGAGGTACCAAAAAAAAAATGGTCCGATCTCTACCATCTTTATAACAGATCTTTTGTTGATAGAAATATTGAGATGTGCCAAGTCTGAATGGAAACGGATGCTAATTTCTCATTTTATGAACTTAATGGACACTGAAAATTTTGACCGCTTGTGGGAGTGGAGAAGGAGAAGACTAATATATCCCATCTTCACAGCAGATCTTGGGTTCATAAAAATATTGTGATGTGTGTAATTTGAAGATAACTGGATGCTTATTTTGGTTTTTATGATCGTTTTGGTTATTCGAAACTTTGACCCTTTGTGGGGGAGTTAACAAAAGGAATGGTCCGATCTCTACCATCTTTATAACAGTACCATATGTTGATGGAAATATTGAGATGTGCCAAGTCTGAATGGAATCGGACGTTAATTTCGTGTTTAAGAGCTTCATGAACATTCATGTATTCAAATGTTGACCCTCTGTGGGGAAGGTGCCAGATGTGTGTAATTTGAAGATAATCGGACTCTTATATTACATTTTATAAGAGTTATAATTATTCAAAATGTTGCCCTTTGTTGGGGGAGGTACTGGATGGAGTCCACCCCATCACTACATTCGTCAATTTTTGAACCTGACCCAGCACTAATTCAAATTTTAGGATTCGCAAAGTTGAACCAAAATAAAATACTAAAACACCTACAGGGGAATACGATTGTCAGGCTGTTGGAAGTTCATGAATAGTGTTGTAAATTTTTCACAGCTTTCCCCGCCACTCCATAAGGATGGCACTCATCATGGCCTGTAATAAACTGAATCGAAAAGTCAGTTCTTTGTGCTAAGGATCTAGGTCCAGGCGAATCCGTTTCCACGCCCAAGATTTTGGGACACGTTGCTGTCAAACACAACCTGTCTCTATTAGAGATGTTGAGTTCACGAATCCATCACGTTCAATTGAACGGCATCGTTCAAGCTGAATTGAACACCACCGTAAATCTTCTTACCGAATCAAAATAAATGGTAAAAGCGAGCCTTTTCATGAAAAGGATGTTGTCTTATAAGCCTGCGCGTGGTAGCCATATATTCCTCTTTGTTTTGAAATAAACATCCTGTCAATTACCTCAAGAATAGACATTTCTCTTAGATTTATAAAATCAAAAACTATATTAAGTGGCGCCCGATGTGTTTTATATTTAAATAAAATTTTTGTTTTTCTTTTTCTTTTTCAGTTACCTGCAATGTGTCAGCAAATACATGAAGGATCTTAAACCCTTTGGAGATGTACCCGATAAACTGTCCGTCCAAATTAAAAGATCATTTGTGGCAACCAGAACCTATGGTCAAGCTTTGAGTACGGCGGCGGATGTTTCCAAACGATTGATCAATGTAAGTTGTTTAATAACTTTATATTTTAATATTAGAATAATAAATATAAACAATAATTGTTAAATTTATTATCTCTTTCAGATACGTTTGAATGCCGACTGTACTTCGGCCCTAACCAAAATGCAGCACTGTGGCTCATGCAAGGGCTACACGGAAAAGCCCTGCACCAATTATTGCGTTAATGTTATCAAAGGTTGTCTACACTATTTCAATGAATTGGACACGGAATGGGAGAATTTTGCCGGTGCTATGGACAAAGTAGCGGAACGTTTACTGGGTTCTTTTAATATTGTTATGGTTGTGGAACCAATTAATATTAAAATATCCGAAGCTATTATGAATTTCCAGGTTAGTAAAATAATCTTAGTATAACCCAAATTTTTAGACGAAACGATTGCTAATTTTACACTTTCATTAAAAAAAAAAAAAAAAAACCTAAAGATAAAAAAGCAATAATGACGTGTGGGCAAGTCTTCTATTTTTATGCGTGTGTAAAACATTTGAATCTCAATAGATTTCCAACTCATCCCAACTGCCTAAAATATAAAAATTCGCTCGCTAGACTTGAAATGTTACACTGTGTCACGCCAGCCAGCCTACTCACCAACTTTATGAGTATCAAATTTCGTCTGTTTATTGTCTCCTTATTTTTGTTTATCAACAACCGGTTAATGACAAAAAAATGTTAATTTTTTTATTGTCTTTTTGCATATTTCTGTCATGTGTGTGGATGTGCCTACCGATGTTGTTGAATCTAATTTATGTTTATGACTTATACAGCTTCTCGTTTTTTTTTTTAATTTGAAGTTACTATCATAGTTAGTGGAGGCGGGAAGTTGTATCAAGTCAATAGAGTTGGAATTAAAATTTTAATGGCAAGCATTTAATATAATTTGAAGATTTAAGACAAAAAAACGTAGAAACAGCTATGGCCCCGTCGACATCATGAGGGATAATCTCTAAACGACAAACCCCATTAACCATTCAAAATATCAGCAAATTTTAAAGATTTCACAAGACGTCAAGAGCTTTTTCTTTATTAATTATTCTAAACAGGTTTCTTTGACAATGATTCAATTCGAACATCACCTTTTGCGCATTGTCGAATAAATTCATACATAAATACCTATATCTTTCCCCAGAGATGGATGAGTGTTTGCTTTTATTTTTTTTTTGTCTAAATATAATTTTTAAGCTTGATTATTAACCATTTGAAGAAGTGCCGAAATCTATTTGCAAAATTTATTATTATCGCCTCCAACAAAAGGTGTGCCGAATTTTAAATAAATTTCAAAATTTTTAATGCAAATCCTCACAAGATTAACAACAACTGAGAGTTGTTATTATAAATAACCAAAATATGTTTTGCAGTTTTTGTTTACATTTGTCAATTATCTATTAACAATGAACGTTAATATTTATTGATAGAAACTTGGGGTTTGTTGGAGAGCTTGCCCATGACATGGAGGCTTATTGAATTTGTCCTTCAGTTTGTCTCTTTTAAGAATAGTCATTCAAAACTTTATGGAGTTCGTCCGGTAAGGTATGTTACGACTGTTAGTTGTATGGGAAATTTGTTCCTGGTTAATACAATACAAGTAAAAAAACATTAATTTCGACCGGCCCGGACTTTTAATACCCTCCACTTTTGGTAAAGAAAACATTTTTATATAAAGTATCTGAATTCAAGCGTGTTCCACTTATAACTACAAATACCAGTTAGACCGTTTGGATAATGCTGTTAAGCATTTCAAAAGACCATAAGGTGGGTGACACCGTTATATGGGGGGCATACCAAAACAGGAACCTCTTAAAACAAAGGATTGTCATCTACCAAATCTTCTTAAATACTGAATTTGAAAAAATTTCGTGGGTAAATATGACTAGGATTATTAAAATACCGAATATCGGTGGGTATCGTTATATGTGCGCTATAGAAAAACGTGAACCTAAATATTCAATATTCTGCCACCGGAGCTAGAACCCATTATGAACTACAATTTGTACACAAATTCGTGAAAAAATCTGGCAAAATTCATCAAAATACTGAATATCCGGAGGAACCATTATGTGGGGGCTATACGAAATCGTGTACCTATACATACTATGTTCCACTACAGGACCCAGAACCCATTATGAACTACAAATACCAATTTTTGGTCAAATCCGTGGAAAAATGTGGCAAAAATCATCAAAATACCGTTATATAAGTCCATAAAAAACGTGGACCTATACATATAGTGTTGCGCTACCAGAGCTAGAGCCCATTATGACCTACAAATTGTAATACTTAGACAAATCTGTGGAAAAATGTGGCAATAATCATCAAAATACCGAATATCGGAAAGTGCCGTAATATGGGGCTTTACAAAAACGTAGACCTATACATACAATGTTCGGATACTGGGCCTAGAACCCACTATGGCCTACAAATACCAATTTTTAGACAAATCCGTGAAAAATTGTGGCGAAAATCATCAAACTACCTATCTGGAGATACCGTTATATGGGGGCTACACCAACACGTGGATCTATATATACTATGTTCCGCCACCGGAGGAAAACGTGGACATCTATAGCTAATTATCTTGGAGAGAAGGCGGTGCAAATTACAAACTCCAAATACCAAGATTGAGATAATTCTGTTCAAAATTGTAGCTAAAATCATCAAAATACCGAACACTGGGAGGTATCGTTATATGGGTGCTATAAGTGAACTAAGAACGAAATTGGTCTTTAACCAATTTGGGGTGAAATGACCAATGTCCTGTATTTTGGCACATCTGACCGAATTTAGTCTAGAAGCAAGTACATCAAATTTGGAAAACATCTGTTCAGCTATAGCTCCCGTATATATGTTTCATCCGATTTGGGATTTTAAGTCCTTCACATGCGTAATATGCACTCCACAACAATGATGTTTCGTACAAGATATCAGATACAGCTCTGAAATAAGTGTTTCAAATTTTGTCAAGTTCGGTTCAGATTTGGATATAGCTCCCATATATCTTTATCCGATTTCAGGTTTATTGTGTCCCCAAATGGCTATCATCAGCTCAAATGGAGTGAATTTTGGGGCTTCCGACGGAATTCAGCCTAGAAGCAAGTACATCAAATTTTGGTGAAAATCGGATTAGATATATCTATAGCTCCCATACATATATAATTCATCCGGTTTGGTCTTAAAGTCCCTTGTCCCATGTACACGCCTAACATGCACTCCAGAACAATGATATTTAATACCGGACATCAGATTCAGCATGGAAATACCTCTGCTAAATTTTATCGAGATCGGTTCTGATTTTAATATACCTTCGATATACATCTTCATCCGATTTTATGGTTATTGTTCACCATATATATTTAATATCAGCCCAAATTGGATAGATTTTTTTATATTAAACCGAATTTTTCAATTTGGTGAAACTCGGTCTATTGCTCCAACAAATATTTTTTTTTATATAATCCTTATAGAAGTCATATATATTATATATTATAGTCAGCACTATGTTATTTGGTACTAGAGGTACATAAGCCTCCGTCAATTTTTTTAATCGATTCGGAATTTAATATAGTTCCATGATACGCATTCAAATAAGGCTTTTTGTTACGGGAGCTGTATTAAATACGTATAGTGGTACAGGGTATCATATAGTTGGCCCCGTCTGACTTTTGACCTATTCTTACTGGTTTTAATCAGCCTACTCTCTCTTGTCAACTCCTTCCTAGTAGGTTTCACGGAGTCACAAGTACTCAAGATGTTCAGTTTGTTTGCGTTCGTATACCATTCTATTTGTCCAATTTTCACTTCTCTACACTTCAGCATAAATCTGAATTTATCAGAAAATATTCGACTTGCGACTTTCTGTTCATAACGAAAATCTGTAGCAATTCCCGCGCATAAAACAGTTCAATTGTCTTCCAACCTCCAGGGCGCATTGTTTTTTTACCTACATTTTAAACCAGACAAAGAATGACATTTATCGTCGTTCGTCTAATGTAACGCTAGAAGCTAATGAATAATAACTGCATATTGACTTACATTTGTCTAGCAACATTTATTCGCACCTATTTACAGAGCATTTTTTAAAGTGTGTGATTTCATACCTCAAGGGTTAAAGAAACGCTCATTCATAGACATAGACATAGACAGACAACCAACCATCCAACCATTCAGTCTTTCAGTCAGCCAGCCAACGCCATTATTTTATGCCATCGTCAACATGGTTATGATATGATATTGGTTTTCCACGACATGTAGTTCTTTGCAGTGTGTTTGGTTAACGCCACCATCCATTCATTCCATCGAACCGACCGACAGCAATGACAACAACATCAGCAACACATCTCTTTCCACACATAAACTATAATTTATCTAATTTCCTGTAATTGATACAATCGATTGCTTTAAGATGATGTTTGTCTACTGATGATGGTGATGATGTCTGATGGAGTACACCCAACCAACCAGCAAGCCAGCCAGCCAGCTAACTCCTCAGTCAGTCAGTCAGTAAGCAACCAACATTAATGAATGGACAGACACAATTCCAATAGGCACTTACCGAAATGTAACCCACAATGATTCCGTAAATCTATCATTTGGCCTGAATCAATGAATGACTATTGACTTGTCGATCTGTCTGTCTGCATTTATCTATGAATGAACTGAAATCGAATTGAAATTAAAGAGAATTTCTTCTTCTATGTTTAAATTGATACCTCCATTCAACAGACTGAAGGTTTCAATGATCATAGACGGAAATTGTTTTTGTTTAAGGGTTACAAACTATCAAAAAGTTGTATATGTAGAGAATCTAATACACTTGAAAAAAGTTTTTCGCTATAGTTAGAGCAAGCCTTCCTTTACATCATAAGAAAATCCAATGTCATTTATAAAAACCTCCACCTAACTCTCCATACCATTTTCGAAGAATTGTCAAGGTTGAAATATCGTAACCCCATTTTTAAACAACCATTAGAGTAATAGTTCCCTCCAGATCAATGTTTCCCGAAATATACAAAATTTCGTTTGCAACATACAGTCCCATTTTAAAGAACTTCACAGTCACAACCACCCATCTCTGACGATGTCGATGTGTACTTTGCGGTTGTCTACATACTAGATTAGATATATCAAGTGTAATTTGAGACTTTAGACGAATAGGTACACAAAAACGTGAAGAGGTGTTAACCTTAACCACCCACCACACACACACACGCATACATACATGCAAACATACATACACTTACAAAGTATAGTTTACGGTAAACAGCAATCAAATTAGGTGAAAATGTGGTTACATTAATGAAAACATTTTCACAATATTGCATTTTCCCCATTTCCATCGTCAATTGCAGGATGCCGGCCCCGATATTACCACTCGTGTCTTCTCTGGCTGTGGCCGTCCCCCTTTGAGTCGTTCAAGACGCAATATCAATCCCAAGTTTATGGCAACGAGCGAAGAAACCGCCAAGCATAGTACAAAACGTTCTGCCGTTGAACAAATGGAAAGTGATATTCTGGATATTGATGCTTCCTTGGATGATGCCATTATATTGAGAGAGAAACGTGCTGCTGATCCCGGCAATCGTGATAGCAGTGAGAATGGTGGTGGCAATAACAACAATCGACGCAACAACAATAACAAACGTAAACAACAAAATCGTAAAAATGATGATAACGATTTCAGTGGTCGTGATCCAGCTCTGGACAAACTGGTCAAGGATGTACGTCAACGCATCAAGGACTATAAGAAATTCTGGTCAAATTTACCCCATCAAATTTGCAGTAATGAAGAAATTTCAACATCCAGTGATGCTGATGGTATGTGCTGGAATGGTCATACAATTGATAGGTAAGTTCTTGAGTATTTATGATGCTTTGAACTTTGGAAATAATCATATTACGTTCATTCTTTTAGATATATGCACTCGGTGACGACTGAGCATGGTTCCAATCCTGAATTTCCTGGAAATCCTTCCACGCCCAAACAAACTAGTCAAGTTGCCTCGCAAGTCATGTCTTTAAAAAATGCCATTAATCATCTGAGAAATGCCTACAATGGTCAGGATGTTGTTTGGAGTGATGATGGTAAGTTGGTTTTTGCGGTGAACGAAGTTAGTTTCCATTAATTAACGATCGATCAACCGATGTATAAGGTCCGTGCTCAATGGCCTATTAATATATTATTACATTGAATTCACCTCAGATCATAGCTGTTCTATAACCAACCATAATATTAAGTGAACCCTTGGTCACATTGGAATTGCTTCTATATTCCAGCCATCAAAGAATACTTCACAAAACATAACTCCGGCAGTCAATAAGTGGAAATTACGTAATAAGTACAAATAGTTCTATATTCTATTCTATTTCTGTTCGGTATCTCACTTATTTCTATGAGCAAATTACTTTGATTTTTTTAAAGTAACGATGTTTTTATTGTCATTCGAAAGAAATTCGGCAGTTGCTTCACTCGGTCACCTTTGGTTCAATGTGTTCGTCCTAGGAAGAATGAAGTTGTTGGTAATAGAAGAGATATAGAAACGAGAAAGTGAAGAAAGAGTTTTTTGATAGAAGTATAGTCAGCAGTGTGGTCTGTGTGGTAGAACGTTAAAGTTGCTATCTCGTTCGCGTTCAGTACGTACACACTTCTCTATTTTCACATAGTCTAACAGGAACCCTGTTATCCCATCTTGAGGTCAGATATCTGATACAGTAGTTACGCATACTAACTAACGCGATTCTTAGACCAGAAATACTATGAAGGGAGAATATTCTTCTTCTAGAGAATACCGCATCGCCTTAGATACCCTGCAATCGGTTTCCAGGTCCTATGGTTGAAACAGCTAATCAAACGGTAGATTAACCAATTGGGAACCACCTCGATCTAATTCTTCAGCCTCTTCATGCATCAGTTTATCGTACCCTCAATATAAGTAACTGAAAATAAAGTTCCTTATCATAAAGTTAATAATCCTTTGAAAAAGTTTTTTTTCTTTCTTTTTTAAATAAAAAGCATTTTAAAATATTTTACGACCTCTCTTTTTTATATCACTAACTAATTTTGTCTTTTTTCTTTTTTTAGAAGAACCCTATGATGGCAGTGGTGCTGGTTCCGGAGCTGGTGTTGATGATGAAGACGATGATGACGAAGGTTCTGGCTTGGGAAGTCCCTTTACACCTAGCCATCGGCCAGATCATACCGAACGTCCCAATAATCGTGTCGACGATGAAGACGATGACGAAGATGTGGTCCAACAACGAACTAATGTTGGACATGGCATTAGCGGTGGCTTACCAACACAAAGCTCTGGGCCACATAGTCCTCATGATACCAACGTACTGGATGAAGATGATGGCGATCAGCACCAGGGTCATCATGACGACGATGAAGATCTCAAGTCAAGCGGGTCAGCGAGACCTGAAAAAATGTCTTTACGTCGCGCTCTATTCATGTATCTAATGCCATTGTATATGGCTTGGTTTGGTGGCATCGTTGTCGATTTGCTGTGATTTGTTATTTAGATTTTTATTTGTTTTTTACGTTCGTTTTTTAAGTTTTATTTAAAACAAAAGAAATTCTATGATAAATTTTTGTGTAGGATAAACGGAAAGTAGCAAAACAAAATGAAAAAATTTTGAACAAAAAAGTAAAGAAATGCAAAAAATGTGGGTGATAGTTAAAACAAAACAAACAAACAAAATGGAGAGAAAAAATCTCCTCTTTAGGGAATTTTGAAAAAGAAATGCAAAGGTCGTCTTGAAATCAAGCCTATTTTATAGTTCTTCTTTCTGTACATACAAATTATACATAATATTATGTATTTCTTTTTTGTTTAAACAATTGGCTAGATTTTTCTTTTGGAAAACTATCTAACTATCCACACAACTTTTTATATTGAAAAGAAACAATTAACCCCAACTGCCTAAAGCAATAGCCCTTAACACAAAATGGGCTTAAAAATGAGTTAATAAGAATTTTATTTTCATAATTATCAATAGAAATATTGAGAAATATTTTTTCTATTGCTATAATTTTGAGAGGTTATCATTTAACATCCTCAGCCATTTCCTTAGTCATGATTATTGAAAAATTAAGTAAAATCTTATAGTGTATAGGACTAAAAAGTAAACACACAATCACCCGAAGCAACAAAACAATCTATATACGTAATGCAAATATGATGTTTCAAAAACTCCCTCTCCTAAATCTAACCTAACTTTTTTATATATACACACACACATTGTAGTTGTTAAGCCTCAAATATTTACATTTATAAATTTTAATAACCATCGATATATTTATATATTTTGTTAGATTTTAAAGAAAGTAAAAAAAACACAATGATAAATGTATAAATTCTAGACGAAGAAAACGAATGCATTTGTAATATTAAATATTTTTACCTAAATTACAACTTAAATGTTACCCTTCCCTTGTGACTCCCGATCATTGTAACCATGATCCCTCCAAAAGGTGTTTGTATAAACTATGTAAAGCATGTTGTCTGATTCTAAAAAATATCCTGCATCATTTTATTTTATTGGTGAAAAATGAATTTATCTGGGTATATTTTTTAACTGTATTCTGTCTGTACTAATTCTTCCTCAAAAGTTCAAATGTGTTGTTGATTTTCTCCAAGCTTTGCACATCTCAACATTTTATTTAACAAAAATAAGTGCCATTGGTCAACTTTTCTGGTACCATTTTAAAAATTATTTAGGTCCGAATATGGACAATATCGGTCGGGTACCTCCTCCATAAAAGATCAAGTTGTAAAATATCCATTACTCATATTGTATAAAAAATATATACCCTTTTTAGCGAGTAACTTGGAATATTACCATAGGCTGCAGGTATGAAACTGTCGACAAAGCCGACAGATACGTTCTAAGCATGGAATAATTATTGTTTTATTTTTCGTAGCCTTTAATATTTTAACAACTGGATAAATCCTAAAATTTGTAAAAATAGTTTCAAAGTGAGTGTTCGGCCAAAAACACCTACTCATTTTATTTTATTGGTGAAAAATGAATTTATCTGGGTATATTTTTTAACTGTATTTAAAATTTAAAAAATCTGTTATAATCCAACACAAGCAAATATCCAACGACTTTGATGACCATTATATGCGCGCTTTCTTTGTTTTTTTTTTTCTGGAAATATTTCAAATGACCCTATTCTCCTTTGTGGGGCAAAATGATTTTTATATCTATGGCAAATACTATTATCTTTCTGCTCTGAATTCTACATTTTACCAAAACATTCAAAACATCATTTGTATCAAACAACATACTTTATTTAGGCTTTACAATTAAATAACATAGTAATTAAAAATAATAATAATAATTGTACTAAATTGAATTAAAAAACGAACTAGAAATCGGCGTATATAAGATCGTGTGACGAAGACAATCGTTAAAATGTAAAAACGTCACGTCAAACCAGAGGTCGACATATTTCATTCTACGGTGCAGACTAGAGCGACCTAAAATAGGATTTGAGTTTTAAATTAAATATCCAATCACACCTTTGTATACATACACATTTTCAAAATTCTTTGATATTAGGTTTACACAGAAGAATTATAAGAAAAAAAAAGAATGAAACATATAACAAAAATGTGCAATTTATTAAAAAAAAAACATGGAAAACAAACATAACTACTAATCATAAATGAAATGATTAGCGTAAAACTTTGTTCAGCCTAAAAGTATACTTTAAAATTCAATTTAACATAAAGAATAAAGTTCGAAACGTGAAAAGTATCTGTTCCATTAAGGAATTTGAAAAAAAAAAAACTCCAAAACAAATCATTTATTTGGTATAAATAACAATTTTAAATTAATTAATTTATTTATAAAATTAATGTTTGTCCAAAAAGATTTCTTCCACTAGTTTTGTTTTCTAATTTAATTTTGCATTTAATTTCTGTTAAGCAATATCGAATTTTTTAACCAAACACTACTTATTATTTAGACATATATACATAGGTACATATTTATAAATATAATAAAACCATATGCTTTGCTTTAATTACCATTCTGTTTGTATGTAATTTTCTATGTTTTTTTTTTTTTTTTTTTCATTTGACTGATTTATAATTTATTTTGCGATGTAATTCTTCCATTAATACTTTGTATTGTTTTTTATTTTAATTTTTGTAGTTGTGTCTATTCGTACAATACGTACCATCCATACCATTATTTAAGTTATACATTAATTAGTATCGTAATATACATATTTACTAATCACTAAAAGAAAACCCTTATTTCATAATTTTATAAATATATATCATAATATAAAAACGAAATTTCTATGATAATGAGAAGATGACAATGATGTTGTATGTGACGTATGTGATTATAAAAAAAAATAATAATAATTTAATAAACAACCGAATATTATTTAAAGAACACACACACTATAGTTTTTACTTTGATCAAAAAAAAAACGTTGGTATATGAAAAACAATTGGGAATATGTTACTCCAATATTGGGAATATATGCGGAAATATAGAGAAAATATTCAGGGAATTTACAAATATCCTCCAGGAATTATTCATATACTTGGATTACAAGTTTTTTTTATTAAAATATTTCAGTTAAGAAAAAATAGAAAAGGGGAAATGTTTATTTATTTATTATTGCCTTTGCAATTTAGTTGTCTATTCGACCTATAGTTCCACATGACATGATACAAAAATTACTAAATTACTACCCGAAAAGGGGAAAATCTCACCGATAAAACCGAACTTCTCTCACATCAAGAACGGTTTTCCTATTAAATAAAAACCAATTGATCTCCGGATACCAATCCGTTGTACTATTGTGTCTGGAGTATTTTGGAAAGCAATGTTGGCACTAAAAAATGCCAAAGTGTCGATTAGCTCAAGCAAGCGCTTCGCCGGGAATGGGCCAAAATACGGCAGAGCAACATTCGGGCAACGTTTCATTGGCCGTTTGAAGGCCATAATTCGTGCCAAAGGTGACCAATTCAAACAAATCTAAACTTATTCTAAAATTTGATGCTATTTTCGACATTTTTTTGCTTTCGTTCAATAAAATTTAAAGAAAAATGAAAAATTATAGCGTTTGACTTTGCTGCAATTTTTTTATCTCACCCTGTATTAACAATGAAATTAAAGTAAGTGCAAAGAAAGGGAATTTCTGGTATCATATGTTGAAAGTATAATGCTATCGGCAAAACCAACTGATACGTTTTAACTTGTTTACGTATTTTTGCTTAAACTATTGTTTATTAGTAGTCATTTAATAAAAATGACACCTGAATAAATAAAGGCACGGTAGAAATTATTTTTCCAGACACAATTTCTGTTTTTTTTTTGTTGAAATTAAACAACAAGTGAGGGTTGACGAAAGTCCCCGTTGACGAAAGTCCCCGAAATGATAACTTTAATTTATTACGGAGTTATTTACTGTAAATCACATATTTTATCATTCTGCAGATGGGATATATCGGTTAACACTCACAAATTTCTCGAAAATTTCAAAAAATTCTGGGAATAAAGTTTACAACTAAGGCGATACTTTGTACATAGTATAGATCATTGGTCAGGCGCGAAAATATATTTGTTTCGGTAAAGACGGTACTAATTCTTCTTCAAAAGTTCAAATGTGTCGTCGATTTTCTCCAAGCTTTGCATATCACAACATTTCATTCAACAAAAATAAGTGCCATTGGTCAACTTTTCTGGTACCATTTTAAAAATTATTTAGGTCCGAATATGGACAACATCGGTCTATATCTTCGGGTACCTCCTCCATAAAAGATCAATTTGTAAAATATGCATTACTCATATTGTATAAAAAATATATACCCTTTTTAGCGAGTAACTTTGGAAGTTACAGGGATTTCTGGTACAATAGGCTGCAGGTATGAAACTGTCGACAAAACCGACAGATACGTTCTAAGCATGGAACAATTATTATCATTATTATTTTTTTTTTTGCTCGAACTTCGTGTTATTTTTCGTAGCCTTTAATATTTTAACAACTGGATAAATCCTAAAATTTTTAAAAATAGTTTCAAGGTGAACGTTCGGCCAAAAGCTCCTACTATTATTTTGCCTAATTCCTTTCGTTCTTCATTATTCAAATTATCATTTAAAATATTAAAAATAAATCCTCTGTTAATCGCATAATTTATCTTTGGCCACCTCTCACATTTTGACAATGACAGAACAAGAACAACTTTTTTCTCTTAGTTAATTAATGGTATTCATGCATACTTCTAGAGAAAGTTTAAGAAAAAAATAGCTTGGTAAATATGTGTTTAATAATCAAATATTATTAAATTTGTAAAGGTATAAAAATAAATACAAAATATTTTTTAATATAAAAAAATTGGAACTCGACAATGAAAGTATAAACAAGCCAAGATATATAGTTACAGATAATAAATACTATTATTACACTCCAATATTGGGAATATATGCGGAAATATAGAGAAAATATTCAGGGAATTTACAAATATCCTCCAGGAATTATTCATATACTTGGATTACAAGTTTTTTTTATTAAAATATTTCAGTTAAGAAAAAATAGAAAAGGGGAAATGTTTATTTATTTATTATTGCCTTTGCAATTTAGTTGTCTATTCGACCTATAGTTCCACATGACATGATACAAAAATTACTAAATTACTACCCGAAAAGGGGAAAATCTCACCGATAAAACCGAACTTCTCTCACATCAAGAACGGTTTTCCTATTAAATAAAAACCAATTGATCTCCGGATACCAATCCGTTGTACTATTGTGTCTGGAGTATTTTGGAAAGCAATGTTGGCACTAAAAAATGCCAAAGTGTCGATTAGCTCAAGCAAGCGCTTCGCCGGGAATGGGCCAAAATACGGCAGAGCAACATTCGGGCAACGTTTCATTGGCCGTTTGAAGGCCATAATTCGTGCCAAAGGTGACCAATTCAAACAAATCTAAACTTATTCTAAAATTTGATGCTATTTTCGACATTTTTTTGCTTTCGTTCAATAAAATTTAAAGAAAAATGAAAAATTATAGCGTTTGACTTTGTTGCAATTTTTTTATCTCACCCTGTATTAACAATGAAATTAAAGTAAGTGCAAAGAAAGGGAATTTCTGGTATCATATGTTGAAAGTATAATGCTATCGGCAAAACCAACTGATACGTTTTAACTTGTTTACGTATTTTTGCTTAAACTATTGTTTATTAGTAGTCATTTAATAAAAATGACACCTGAATAAATAAAGGCACGGTAGAAATTATTTTTCCAGACACAATTTCTGTTTTTTTTTTATTGAAATTAAACAACAAGTGAGGGTTGACGAAAGTCCCCGTTGACGAAAGTCCCCGAAATGATAACTTTAATTTATTACGGAGTTATTTACTGTAAATCACATATTTTATCATTCTGCAGATGGGATATATCGGTTAACACTCACAAATTTCTCGAAAATTTCAAAAAATTCTGGGAATAAAGTTTACAACTAAGGCGATACTTTGTACATAGTATAGATCATTGGTCAGGCGCGAAAATATATTTGTTTCGGTAAAGACGGTACTAATTCTTCTTCAAAAGTTCAAATGTGTCGTCGATTTTCTCCAAGCTTTGCATATCACAACATTTCATTCAACAAAAATAAGTGCCATTGGTCAACTTTTCTGGTACCATTTTAAAAATTATTTAGGTCCGAATATGGACAACATCGGTCTATATCTTCGGGTACCTCCTCCATAAAAGATCAATTTGTAAAATATGCATTACTCATATTGTATAAAAAATATATACCCTTTTTAGCGAGTAACTTTGGAAGTTACAGGGATTTCTGGTACAATAGGCTGCAGGTATGAAACTGTCGACAAAACCGACAGATACGTTCTAAGCATGGAACAATTATTATCATTATTATTTTTTTTTTTTTGCTCGAACTTCGTGTTATTTTTCGTAGCCTTTAATATTTTAACAACTGGATAAATCCTAAAATTTTTAAAAATAGTTTCAAGGTGAACGTTCGGCCAAAAGCTCCTACTATTATTTTGCCTAATTCCTTTCGTTCTTCATTATTCAAATTATCATTTAAAATATTAAAAATAAATCCTCTGTTAATCGCATAATTTATCTTTGGCCACCTCTCACATTTTGACAATGACAGAACAAGAACAACTTTTTTCTCTTAGTTAATTAATGGTATTCATGCATACTTCTAGAGAAAGTTTAAGAAAAAAATAGCTTGGTAAATATGTGTTTAATAATCAAATATTATTAAATTTGTAAAGGTATAAAAATAAATACAAAATATTTTTTAATATAAAAAAATTGGAACTCGACAATGAAAGTATAAACAAGCCAAGATATATAGTTACAGATAATAAATACTATTATTACACTCCAATATTGGGAATATATGCGGAAATATAGAGAAAATATTCAGGGAATTTACAAATATCCTCCAGGAATTATTCATATACTTGGATTACAAGTTTTTTTTATTAAAATATTTCAGTTAAGAAAAAATAGAAAAGGGGAAATGTTTATTTATTTATTATTGCCTTTGCAATTTAGTTGTCTATTCGACCTATAGTTCCACATGACATGATACAAAAATTACTAAATTACTACCCGAAAAGGGGAAAATCTCACCGATAAAACCGAACTTCTCTCACATCAAGAACAGTTTTCCTATTAAATAAAAACCAATTGATCTCCGGATACCAATCCGTTGTACTATTGTGTCTGGAGTATTTTGGAAAGCAATGTTGGCACTAAAAAATGCCAAAGTGTCGATTAGCTCAAGCAAGCGCTTCGCCGGGAATGGGCCAAAATACGGCAGAGCAACATTCGGGCAACGTTTCATTGGCCGTTTGAAGGCCATAATTCGTGCCAAAGGTGACCAATTCAAACAAATCTAAACTTATTCTAAAATTTGATGCTATTTTCGACATTTTTTTGCTTTCGTTCAATAAAATTTAAAGAAAAATGAAAAATTATAGCGTTTGACTTTGTTGCAATTTTTTTATCTCACCCTGTATTAACAATGAAATTAAAGTAAGTGCAAAGAAAGGGAATTTCTGGTATCATATGTTGAAAGTATAATGCTATCGGCAAAACCAACTGATACGTTTTAACTTGTTTACGTATTTTTGCTTAAACTATTGTTTATTAGTAGTCATTTAATAAAAATGACACCTGAATAAATAAAGGCACGGTAGAAATTATTTTTCCAGACACAATTTCTGTTTTTTTTTTATTGAAATTAAACAACAAGTGAGGGTTGACGAAAGTCCCCGTTGACGAAAGTCCCCGAAATGATAACTTTAATTTATTACGGAGTTATTTACTGTAAATCACATATTTTATCATTCTGCAGATGGGATATATCGGTTAACACTCACAAATTTCTCGAAAATTTCAAAAAATTCTGGGAATAAAGTTTACAACTAAGGCGATACTTTGTACATAGTATAGATCATTGGTCAGGCGCGAAAATATATTTGTTTCGGTAAAGACGGTACTAATTCTTCTTCAAAAGTTCAAATGTGTCGTCGATTTTCTCCAAGCTTTGCATATCACAACATTTCATTCAACAAAAATAAGTGCCATTGGTCAACTTTTCTGGTACCATTTTAAAAATTATTTAGGTCCGAATATGGACAACATCGGTCTATATCTTCGGGTACCTCCTCCATAAAAGATCAATTTGTAAAATATGCATTACTCATATTGTATAAAAAATATATACCCTTTTTAGCGAGTAACTTTGGAAGTTACAGGGATTTCTGGTACAATAGGCTGCAGGTATGAAACTGTCGACAAAACCGACAGATACGTTCTAAGCATGGAACAATTATTATCATTATTATTTTTTTTTTTTGCTCGAACTTCGTGTTATTTTTCGTAGCCTTTAATATTTTAACAACTGGATAAATCCTAAAATTTTTAAAAATAGTTTCAAGGTGAACGTTCGGCCAAAAGCTCCTACTATTATTTTGCCTAATTCCTTTCGTTCTTCATTATTCAAATTATCATTTAAAATATTAAAAATAAATCCTCTGTTAATCGCATAATTTATCTTTGGCCACCTCTCACATTTTGACAATGACAGAACAAGAACAACTTTTTTCTCTTAGTTAATTAATGGTATTCATGCATACTTCTAGAGAAAGTTTAAGAAAAAAATAGCTTGGTAAATATGTGTTTAATAATCAAATATTATTAAATTTGTAAAGGTATAAAAATAAATACAAAATATTTTTTAATATAAAAAAATTGGAACTCGACAATGAAAGTATAAACAAGCCAAGATATATAGTTACAGATAATAAATACTATTATTACACCGGAAACACTGACATTTTCTTAAACATTATCGTGTTTAGACCTATGAGGCCTAACATTGCACCCGTGATTTTCAGGTACGGAAAAAGTTTTGCCACACTTTTTATGCCATCATTGCCGATGGCCTTGTTTTGATGTAAACAAATGCAATAATAATTAGCGTCAGTACACCCAATACCGGAAGAACCACCGTTTTCATTTGATTGTGTATGGCGACGTTTTCCATTTTGCGCTCCTTTTTTTGTTTGCGAGTTTCCTTGACCTTTCCCTTTAGTTGACGCATTGTTTAAAGATTCTAAGGGAAGCCAAAAAAAAAAATTATTCTTTGAATATAAAGCTTTACATTGACCACGTTTTGCAAAACTTACAGCTAAGTTAATAATATTCAAAAGGAAGGAATAATAAATAAAAAATAACGTATATAATTTCCTATATGGGAAACCAATATTTCGAGGTGTTACATAAATCCTGGCACAATCAAACTTATAATACCCTCAACACATAGTGTTGTAGGGTATAAATATCAACATATTTTCAATATCAATAATATTTTTTACCAGAATCTAAAATCCTAAATTTTCTGGAATTCCTAAATTGAACGTATTTTATTCGTTTTCTTCCTTTGCAGATAGACGATGATGATGACAGAACGGTGACCAATCAGGAAGCCTTAACGTGGGGCATTCGCATTGCTCTCTTTTTAAAAGGTCGACGAATGCGTCATGACGATATTGTGGGAATAGCAGCACGTAACACCACCTATCTGACATCGGTGGCCCTGGGTTGTTTCTTTAATTGTACACCATTTCATGGAGTCAATCCCAGCTATCAAGAAGGTTTGGTCCACAATAAATTGACAAGATTTTACCCTAAATTAATTACATAACTTACATAATAATTTAGATGCCCTCAGTCACTGTTTTGGCATTACCAAACCCTCTGTGATTTTCTGTGATGGTCGTGATTACGAGAAGATAAAAAATGCCACAAAATCCTTTAAGCCCGATATTTATACCATAAGTGAACACATTGAAGGTGTGCCCTCAATTTTAGAGTTACTGGAACCAAATCCCAAGGAACATTTTTACCAGTGAGTTATAGTTTTGGTTTTTCGGAATGAAAAGAAAACAATTATTTATGGAATGCCCCTCTTACAGACCTGAAAAGCTTACATTGGGTGCAGATCAAACCGTGTGCATAATGTGTTCTTCGGGTACCACGGGTTTGCCCAAGGCTGTTACCATTTCAGCACATAAATTAATGTTTGAAAATCCGTAAGTAAACATAGAAAATATGTTTTAGAACTCCATTTTCAAGGTTAATATAGTCCTTCAGAAAATAAATTTTATACCTCTTTTCGTAACTCATCGAGAAATATCCTTAAAAAATCCATTTTAAAAGATCAGATGATGATGATCAGATGATTTAATTCCACGTTTAGGGTTTGGATATTCTCTCAGAAAATATTCTTAAAAAACCTATTGTAATTCCGCGTATGGAGGTCATATGATCCATTTTTAAATCCACGTTTAAAGGTCGAATGGCTCCTCAGAAAATATTTTTAAAGAATCTACGTTAATAGCTTGGATATCCTTAACGAATCGAAGGAATCTTTAAAAATCCAAGATTCTACGTTAATAATTCCCTCAAATAAAAATATTATTTAAAATTGCAATTGCACAATGGTGTGTATTTTGTTGATTCATTGCCTCACAATAATAATGGTAAAATTCTGAAACGCGAAGCGAGAGACATTTTCAAAAAACTAATGAAAGAAAAACAAACTTTGGATCGTTAATCATCATTATTTATAGATAATATTAAGAAAAAGTTTTAAGTTAATTAAAATTAATAAAAATATTTTAACACAAACATTTAGTGAACTTCCATTTGAGAAACCTCAGAAACAAATTGTTTTTATGAAATTGGTTTTTGATTTTCCATCCCTACAGACAGATGAAAAATGTGCAGGATTTTTTTTGTTTTAATTGACTGGATGCCAAGTCAATGGAAACCAAGCGACTGATGAACTGCCGCAATACAAATAAGATATTAATGAAATGGAATTTGTACGCTTAGTCGAAGCATCTCCGGGTCATTTCATTATATACAAGATCTCAGTATGACCAACCTCTTCCAAAAGACCAACAATTCAAAAACGTTCCCTAATGAATTTTGATCTAAAACTTATAGTAGATATCTTTATGGGTCACTGTAAAAAAGGAGCCTTAACAGATCTTAAAAATCCACGTCTCTGAATCAGATAGTCCCTCAGAAAGTATTCTTAAGAATCCACGTTTCTGAATCAGATAGTCTCCCCGAAAAAATTCTTGAAAGTCCAAGTTTCTGAATCAGATAGTCTACCCCAAAATATTCTTGAAAGTCCACGTTTCTGAATCAGATAGTCTAGCCGAAAATATTCTTAAAAATCCACGTTTCTAAATCATATAGTCCCTCAGAAATTTCTTAAAAGAATCCTCTTTTCTGATGGACTATCTTCCTCAGAATATATCTTAAAAAATCCACGTTTATTAATCAGATAGTCCTCAAAAATATTCTTAAAAATCCACGTCTCTGAATCAGATAGTCTCTCAGAAATATCTTTGAAAATCCTCTTTTCTGATACAGATAGCCCCTCAGAATATATCTTAAAAAATCCACCTTTATTAATCAGATAGTCTTCAAAAATATCTTAAAAAACTCATCAGATAATCCATCAGAAAATATCCTAAAAATCCACACGTCTAAATCAGATAGTCCCTCATAAAAAAAAACTATAAAAAACACATTTCTAAATCAGATATGTTTCAGGGCAAGATAGCCGCTTAGACTATAGTCATGAAGAATCGATCAATTTTAAAATACTTATGAATTAATATATCTCTTTACTTAAATTTAAAGTTTTAACAAATTTCATAATGATTAATGATAGGAAATCCCCATATGAAATATTTTTATCCGCTCGTAGAGAATTTTCGGTACCATCGTTTGTCTATATATCATTACACTAAAAGGAACTTTTTCATCAGCTCCTCCTTTGAATTAAACACAAAGGATCTGTTTATCTGCATACTTCAAGTTTCAGCTTATCTATACAAAATCTCTGTGCAGTAGCAGTAGTAGGTTTCCATGTTTCAGGTGGTTTAAGTAAAGCCGAGCTTTTTCAGTTTCTTCGACGATAAATCGGAATCAAGACCATAAAAAAGGAAGAAAACACAAGACCTTTAAAATTCCTCAGATTACATTCTAAATTTCTTTTATAGGCAAAAGGCCCTTTGATGGTATTTTTAATAGGTGTTCCTGTATCCCTTGTTGCTCTTTTATGTGAGATATTCTAATAAAATTAAAAATAAAGTTGTTCTATGTTTGTGAAATTTTCTAAAGTAAATCTAGGAGATATAAAAAGGTATAAATTGTCGAATGCCAATTAAAAGCCTTCTATACATGGTAGACCTAGTAAAACCATTCTAAAGGCAATCATCGTTTGTCTGTATATCATTATACTAAAAGGAACTTTTTCATCAGCTCCTCCTTTGAATTAAACACAAATTATCTGTTTATTTGCATACTTCCTTTTTCAGCTTATCTATACAAACTATCTGTGCATTGGTTCGCCTAAAAGGTTTCCATGTTTCAGTTGGTTTAAATAAAGTCGAGGTTTTTTCAGCACATTATAGTCTTTAAAGTCTGTCTTTTTGGCTTCTACTTTTAAACGTTTTAAAGTGTATTATAAAATGGAAGGAAATAAGGACAATGTATCAACTTCGTGGCCAGGGCCCGAAATTATAATGGTCTTGTGCAAATTTCAACAAATCTCGTCCATAAATATATTGTATTCTTCAACAGGATAAAGTATAGATTCAATCCTTTATCTCGTCTATATGTATATGTTTCACTCATCTATGGATCTGTAAACATAGAAATGATGTAGGTCAAAAAATTAGAAAAAATGTGTGTTAGCTCGTGGCTCATGATACAATCGTAGAGTGACTTACTATAACAATCTGACCTTGTACAATATCTTTCCACTCGATATAAAATTGAGCCTCGAACTCGTTTTCTGTAAGGAAAATCGGTTATTTAGTTAGCATAATTTCACATTCTTGTGGGTTCTGGAACAGAGCTAAAGTTTCTCCTACAGCAGGCTATAATGTAGATTCCTTCCTCGTCTATATGCAATTGTTCGACGCATCTATAAATATCGAAATGTCGAAAAATTCGGAAAAAAAAAGCTTGTTATGGTGCGACTTACAATTAAAACCAGGTGTTCCTTATAAAGAAAAGGTACTTCGTCTTCTAAAAATTCTCGATTAGACATATTTAAATATTTTTCTTTGTACCTGAAAAACTTTCATAAATTACCAGTCTTATTTCAAATTTAAATATAAACTATGGTACACCCTGTGTTATAACATGAATCACCCTTTTTCGCTTTTCGCAGTCCTCCATTTCCTCATTCGTATAAATTTTCTTTAAATTTAGAAACATAAATTTTTATACGAAATTAAATAATTAATTAATAAATTAATAAATTAAAATCAATTGAATGAATTACCAACCGACGCCACCGAGAAAAGAAAAAGAAGTAACGAACAAAGGACACTACAATATGGCAACACTGAAAAGAAAGACAGCACAGAGAGAAAATCGAAATAAAGATGGAATCAAAAGGGAAAGGCGGACAACACAAAAGGAATCAAAACAAAACGGCCGACAACACAGCAACAGATGTTTAAGATATGGGTTATCATTTTACGATGATTAGCAAACAATTTGCTATCGATTCTTTGTGATTAGCAGAGACGAAGCGGTCAAGCAGGAGGAGAATACTTGTTGATTTCTGTCAAAATATTGTGACGTGTTCTCAGAAGAGTACATGTTATAGGTGACAAACAATCGATGTCAATATCGATAGTATCGATACTTTTTTTTGAGTATGATAGTTTTTTTCTATCGACATTATCGGAAGAAATAGTTGTAGTTATGGCTCAACAAGAAAGGTTGTTCAACTTCAAAGAAAAGATGGACAAATTGGTGAAAGCCCACAAAACATGGGCCTATCTCACAAAATTTAACATGTGCTCTGCTCCACAACTGCAAGTATGTAAAATTTCTTAACTACGGTAACCGAGTTTTAAATGTCGAAGTGCGAAAGGAAAGTGAACAATGATTTACCTTCAGAGTTAAGTTCCGGGTACATCGTAAAAGGATAAAGGAGCGTAGGGAAAGCAAGTAAAAATTACGTGTTTTTAGCAAAGAAGCTAGCCGATGACTTAAGCAAGTACAAATTCACTTTATGTTTTCCTCCTTTACGTTTTCCATATTTAGTCAAATTTGGCATTCAAACTCTGTTCTGTTTCAGAAACCGCAAGAATACACAAGTATTGGATTTTTTTGTCGATAAGGGTTATCGTAGATTCTTGCAGTTCTGGAATAGGCCTGTTGAGAAATACATATTTCTTTTGGTTTTAAATTCATGACATCTGTATATAAAAACTAAAAAACGACTTTAAGAATACGAGACAACAGCGCTACCTACCTGTTATTTTATATCCCTAAAGAACAGAGGGCGTTGTATATAATGACACAAGATATTTGAAATACTGTAAAAAAATAGATGTCACTAAATACCAATTAATATTTTAATGAAAAGAGCTACGAGTCGCTCTTCAACGTTTGTTGACATTAGACTACTTTCTCGCGCTGGTCGCTTACCTTTCATTTTTAACATCAACAACAACAAACCATAACCTGCAAACACACACACACACTTACAAAAAAATTTTTTTTCTCTCGGTTTTTGTTTTTAATTTAAAACAAGTGTTTTACTCCATCATTAAATTAAAAATATAATTTTAAAGAATTTAAAATGGGGGGAGTAGGGGAACCTCCTCCTCCGCCACCTCCTCCACCGGGGGAGCAAAACAAAAGAAAAGCCAGCAGTATCGCCAAAGAAACAAAAACATTTAAAAACAATTATGGATCTCCAGTTAAGACTGTTAACACCAATGCAAACGCACAACTACCTACTAACAATGAAAATGAAGATGAATACAACTACAATTCTCTAAACAAAGAATCCATTTTGTATCCAGCGTATCATCCTGGCCCTTTTTTTGTTCTAGTTTCTTCAGAAACTCCAATAAGCACTAGGAGGAAAAATTGCGAATTGCACCTTTATGCCAAATTCCAAAAAATCAATATTACGGATTATGCCTGCAAAAACATTGGATATAACACTTTTAGATTAACTTTTAATAATGCTAACTCAGCGAACAATTTTGCGCAAAATAAGAACTTAAAGCAAATAGGCCTAAAAGCATTCATTCCTGAAAGATTTGTTCAGCGCTTTTACATCATTAAGAATGTACCAAAAAGTATCTCAGCCATTACCATTAAGCAACAAATAGAAGCTAATAACGACATGGATGTTGTCTCTGTTTATCGTTTCACAAGGAAAAATGAAAATAATACTCTGGAATACACCGAAACTATCAAAATCGGTGTCATATACGATGGTGTACCTACCGAAATATTCATGTGTGGAACCAAAATAACCCCGGAACTGTATGTGCCACTAGTACGTCTCTGCTTGAACTGTGGACGTCTAGGACACATAGCTATTCGTTGCAGGTCAATGAAAAAATG